CCTCGTGTTGCGGAGGAGCGAGGAGGAGAGGGCTGCACGCAGCAGCGTTGAACACCTGCCGGGACAGGTTAGCGGAAGAGTTTCAGTAGGTTTGTAATGCAGATTTTTTAAAATCCTTCTATCCAGCAATGTTATTTTGTTGCATTTGAAGACTTCTTTTTTTTTTTCTTCAAGAAATGAAAAGCCAATGTTGTTTGATCGCTGATACAAGATCCTCATCCCATAACTTTGCGGGGACACGTCCATTGGTGATCCTTAAAAAAAAAAAAAAAGAAAACATGAGTTTGGTATTTGCAAAACTGCGGTAACTGAGCCGTCCTGCAGGTGCGAGAGAGGATGTCACGGGAAACCTGCCCGGCCGCCCGCGGGGGATCCCTGGAGCAGCCTCAGACCGTCCGGCCAGGTGGGCCTGACGGCCTCCTTTGTCAGCCTCCGACCGTGCCGGAGGGCAGGGCGTCGTGCAAGGCTAGTCAATCCCTCCCGCTCTCGGTGCGGCTCTTCAGCAGTATCCAACAGGCATTCGCTGCCCCTTTGCACCTGCCCATATTTTTGTATCAAGGCAAAACCTGCGTGTCCCAAATTCCCCGTGTGCTGCCTGCGTCCCGCTCCAACCCTGCGCTCATCGGAGCCAGGGCAGCACCATGGGGGGCAGCACCCTGGGCTCTTCTCACCATTATTTTTCACTATCAAAAACAAATACTCTCCCTGCTAAGTTAGATGGGAATATTTAATTCCTGTGTTCGCAGCAGTCTCCTAGTGGTTCTGAGATGGGGCAGGCACCAATATCTGCTTTTTGCAGAGCAGAACCTCACTTGCTCCTCCATGTGTGTGACGAGGGGACTGCAACCGCACCCGGGCTTGAGCCAGAATGGTGGATTTTGGGTGCAGATACATGAAGTAGAGAGGAGCTCTAACTGCTCTGCAGATGTTACATATGCAAGCACAGCCCTCTCTGCTGTGACTTTTAATGAGAGGGTGACTTTAAATATGCTGTTCGGAGCTAAATTCATCAGAGATGATGATGAATCCAGCAAATAATGAAGTTCTGTCTGAGTCTCCACGGGAAGTTTTTCCCGCGGGGTTGGACTGTCGTGGCCAGCGTGGCAGCTCCCTACGTCTGCGTGATCCGTGTCCACCCCCCTTGAAAGCAGCCCCTTGGGCCTGCCGGTGCCAGAGGATACGGGGCAAAGACTCGTCCTGTCCTGCTTGTCTAGGAAGGGCCTGGGGAAGGTCCCGGCAAATAAGGGGAGAAAAGAGGGAGCAGGGCCCTTGGCGAGGGCTGTCAGAGCAGGGCGCTGCGGGCTGCAGAGCGTCCCTGCCCGCGGCGCCACTGGTGCCACTCGCCTGCGTCTCGGGTTCACGCCGGAGCTCCTTGGTGTTTGCGCTCCGTAGCTGCCGGGGAGCAGGAGCCGGCGCTGCAGGCCGGCCTGGAGCAGCGCTGAGAGCGCAGCTCTATGCCCAAAGCGTCATCGCATGGGCCCTTCTCCCCCGGACGGGATAAGCTAAGGATAATTGCCCGTTAATTGGTTAGTGCAACTGATGTTTATAACAGTAAGAAATGGCTTTTTGTAGTTTTTATATACGTGTAGATTGTTTGGCTTTGGTCATTGGCTTGTCTAAGCAGCCTTGATTTTATCTGGCTGCAGTAAAATGGGGTTTGTGTTTTCCTTTTGCATAAACTGTGAACTCTTTTCTATTTTTATTTTTTTTTCTGGTACATGGCTTTCACTTTTGGAACATTTACAGCAATTCTTTCCCGCTGATCAGAGAGCAACTCCAAACACCGCTTTCCAACACCGCCAGAGTAATTTTGTATTTATTTTTGTGAATAAAATGCTTGCTGTTGACGCTGGCGCTGAGGGAGCGCTGCCCGCTCGGCCAGGGCACCGGAGCAGGAGGGGAAGGTCGGGGTTGCCCGCGCCTCCCCGTGCGGAGCCGGGGCTGGCAGCGGCGCCGGCCCCGCGGCCTCATG